TTTATCTATGCACCCACATCAAAAGAAAAACACGTTTTGTAAAACAAACAAAAAAGTACAACGAATGATCATTTAGTTGGATCCACTCACTGTAAAGTTTGATGATGGTGGTTTTATTTCCTGATGGTTTCTCTGTGCTCAACAGAAGCATCATTGTGTACTCATCGTAGTTGGTTTTAACCACGTAGGAATCAACCTCAGCATTGAACCCTGCAGAGAGGACAGAGTTTAACGCGTGACAGATCTGTGGACACATATTAGTAGTAGATTTACCAAAGCTGCTGCATTTTAGTATTTAATGAAACCTTTTTTATTTTGGTGTGAACTGTGCTGAATAAGAAAACATACTGAAAACATGGTGAAAGAATCGTCCTGGAGTGTTGGTCAAATCATAAACTGTGGATGTCTGCTGACATGAGCCATTCCTGCAGCAAATTAAATAAACACACACAGGTGACACTGGGTTTAGTTTTTCCCAATTGGTGTGTGTGTGCTGATGTGTGTGTGTGTGAGTCTGACCTGACAGAAGTTGCCGTCATTGTGAAGTTGCCCTGAAAAGCAACATGTTGCAGCTGCAGTGCGACAATGACAGGGTTCCCCCTCTTGCGTTGCATGTATTGAGGACAGGTAGAGATCACTGCCACCTCGAACCACCGCCCCATGAACTGCAGGGAACACAGAAACATTTCCTAGTTACAGTGGAGATAATATAATATTATCTAAAGCACATGGAAGGGCATACAGCTGCAATAGAAATCAGTTAAAGACATCATTTCTACATGTGCTTGACGTCAACTAGAACAAAATTTGATAAATTCACAAAACTTTGATCTCTCAAAGACAGTCGGGATATAGTCTGTAATGGTTTATAGTGGAATTGAGCTTAAAGGACTCAGAAACTCAGTGGAGTTGACAACATCACGTGATGACAGGGAACACATAAACAAAATGATTGTATATATCATCATTTTAACAACATTTACAACCACATTTGAAATAATAAAAACAAGCAAAGAAAGAAAAGTGCAGTTGGTGAACTAAGAAAGTGTTAAAATGTTGTATATAAAAGGTGGAAGAAGAATGAGAAAGATAAATATGACACCAGGAATTTTAAGTGTGTTTTTTTTGGCCCAAATAAATGAAATAACTCAAATGGATTTCAGTAAAGTGCATAACTCCACCCAGGCCAATGCATCCTACGTAATTATCTCGATTGTATAATATAAAAGAAATAAGAAAGTGGTCTGATACGAAAAACATCCTGGATGTGCCCATTAATTCTCATTCACCCCAAAATTGATTAGTTCCCCCTCAGGCCAAGGACCCATACCCCTGCTAAGTTTGGTAGATTTTGCGTAATCCTGCCAACAAACAAACAAACAAACACAGGTGGAGAGCTCCATGGCAGAGGTGAAGAGTCACTCACCCGGTCCAGATGGAAGTCCTCCTGTGGGAGGGGTAGAGGTTCTGGGAGTATGTGGACCCCCTGCAGGGTCCAGACTGACCCCAGGACCAGCACAGAAACCAGACTCACTGCTCTCTGCATCCTGTCTGTCCACCTGACGCTCCGTCCCTCACTGACCTCCTGCTGCTGCACGAACTGACACAGAGTTGCGTAAATCTTCACCCACAAAACTACAAGACAAAAGAGTTGGGATCAGACCTTTATCTGCCTTTGTGTGTCTCTTGTGCATGTGTGCATGATATTGTGTGTTTGTTCCTCTGACTTATCAGTGAATCGCTGGACTTCAGAATTTGTCGCTAAAACAAACAACCAATAAATCAATACCTGGCTGAAGTGAATGGCTGATAATTAGTAGGGAAAAGGCTGCAGTGTCTAAGAGTCTATAGCAGTGGTCACCAACCTTTTAAAGCACAAGATCACTTTTTAATTCAAAACGTAAGCTGAGATCTACCACCCCTATGTCTTGCAAAAAAAACCCACTTAGGAGGGTCATGTTTATTATTTTAGTATGAATTCATGCATCTTCAGCTCCTGCAAATATTTCACAATAAAAAACTTTTAAACAAAAGAATGGATTTGGTCAACAGAAACGCTGGAGTGCTTTTCTTTTGTGTTTGTGACATTAATTCAACAGATAAACATTCAAAGTAAAAGCACTCCAGCGTTTCACTTCTGAATCCATTCATTTGTTGTAACAGGGCTTTGATTGTTGTCGACAGACCAGACGATGCAGGACTTCATACCGTAGAGTCCTGACATTTAGTTCAATGCATAATCTGACTTGTTTTGAAGGAAATGCAGGAGATAAACCTGCTGCTCCACCGCCAGTAGCGGACACACAGCGGGTGTGAACAACAGACAACCGACCCACAGCTGATCTGCCGCGCAACCGCAGACTGTGAGTCCAGAGAGTTACAGAGATCGACGGTGAAGACTGTTGGGATCGACCACTAGGTCGCGATCGACGGGTTGGCGACCACTGGTCTATAGATACGTCCACAGACAGGATCTGAAGACGCACATTATTCATTAGTTTCTTCTATGACTGAGAGGAAGAGGGTGGGAAGTGATTATAAATATTTTCAGTTTGTTCTGTCCGATGTTGGTTTACATAGCCAGTTTCAGCTTTATGTAGAGGTCACAGAGGTCAAACTGATGTGTGGTGAAATGTGCCCCCTGGTGTTCATGTTGCAGTAGAACCAGCAGATACACATTGAACCTCTGTACACACCTGGTAAATGGGATGTGACGCCACTCACAGGCGACTCCTTGAAGCTCACACTTTGAATAAAACGACAGATTTCTGCAGTTGTGAAGAAAGAACAAGAATCCCTTGAACATAAAAATCAATGAAATAAAATCAACAAAACGCAACAAAATAAACACAAAATAAACACCAAAAAAAATCTACAAAATATACAAATAAAGCAAAAATAAATGAATAAAGAAAACTCAATATAATAAGTCAATCAAACAAAATCAACAAAACAAATCAACAAAATAAAAAAAACGAATCAATTACAAACAAAATGTATCAATTAAACAAAAAATAACAAAATGAATAAAACAAACCACAAAGAATAAATCAATAAAACAAAAATCAACATAACAAATCAATTAAGAAAAAAATAACATCTGGAATTTTTCTATTTTTTTTTTCTTTATTCAACTATGTCAACACAGCACAACCATCAAAATTAAGTAAAATGTTACAGGAAATAGTTTTTAGAAAGTATTTATAAACTTATTCTTCATAATGTTTGTAGCCAGAAACATGATATTTGCTTTTCTGTACTTCAGAGTAAAGGCTGAGGAAAAAGTACAGGTCTGCAGCAGAAAACACTCGATCTCAGGTGCATCAGGGAACCTGGAGGCAGAAACAGAAACTCACACACACATACACACACACACGTGAATCTGAAATGAACTGCCTTTGGTTTTCAAAAGAAACAGAGCGACCTAACGTCCAGATCCAGATGGTGGGCAGTTTTCTGTGGGCCAGAAGAACACAGAGACATCAATTAGGGAACAGAGATTTAATTCTCCCTGTTAGATAAGTGTGTGTGTGTGTGTGTGTGTGTGTGTGTGTGTGTGTGTGTGTGTGTGTGTGTGTGTGTGATTTCCTGCTTTACCTGCTGGAGGAGGAATCAGAATAGATTCTCTAGATAAACCTTGGGACAAGGCGAAGCCCTTAAACCTCTGAATGATATCGGTCTTCATTTTTAGGGAACGACCTGCAGAAGCAGAACAGAGATGAGCAGCAGCACTGAAGCTCAAATATGTATTGAAGAAAAAATAAAACATATTTGTGTGTGTGTGTGTGTGTTTCTTACCGTAAAGTGAAACCTGTGTGTACTCCCTGTTGAAAACCTTGTGTTTGAGAACCACAGCGTATTCATTGTAGTTTGTGTCCACCACTGTGACGTCCTTCACAATGCCATGGCCTGAAAATATACAGCATTAAATATTTTACTTAACCACAGAAAAATAAGAATAATTAGAAAAAATCATGTAAGTGACATCACAACAGACGCTGTAGACAATTCAGTAAAATCCTTTCGAATGTTTCAGAATCATTGTTTGCCAGAATAAAAATGAGATTCAAAACAAAAAGAGCCAACATGGTATAAAAGGGGTGCACTAAACCAAAGGCAACACTATTAAAGACACACTGAATATGAACGAAAAATATAAAAACATGCAATAAATATTATACAATGTACAGCAAGATGACAGTTAAAAGAAAAAAACAGGAAAGAATGAAAACTTTAAATACATACAGTTTGGAAATAAATCTGCATGGATTTGCAATTTATTACAAATCTATAACAACTCACTGACTGAATGTGTCAGAAACTGTTATGTTTGATAATATTATACATTTATATAATTTAAAAAGCAAAATATCAATGTGCTACATTTTTAAAAAAAGAGTAGACTTGGAGTCAAACAAGCAGCAATAAACTACTTTAAAATCCATCATGCTGTTGTTGATCCAGAATCTCGACTTCGGCAGCAGACACCCGCTGAGGGCCCGTCAAATATTTACACTATCACAGGATGAGTAGAGTCACAGAGAGACTTACGTTGGCTGAAGTAGGTGAACTGTCCAGGAACGCCGGTCGCCTCATAGTGGTACGAGTGACTCCGACAGTCCCCAGGCCTGAAGCACACACAGGAAACACAATGTTCTCCAACATCCCTCAAACCTCCTCTCTCATATGTCTGTTCCCCTTCTTTGACTAACACACACACACACACACACACACACACACACACACACACACACACACACACACCTGGCTTCCCACATGGTGAGGTTAGCATTGCCGTTGGGCAGCGCTTTGATGATGCCCATAGACGCCTTCACCATGTCTCTGTAGGGGGCAAAACTTGGAGAGTCATAGGCCAGACCCACACGGTACCATTTCCCTGCAAACTAAACACACACACACACACAAGTTTACACACTAGAGATCGGAGTATACTGTACATTACATTACTTTACATGAAGTATTTTTAACAATCCATTTTTGCACTATTTTGACTTTTTGGACTATTTGCTCAGCAGCAGTGAACCATGTGCAGGGATTGTTCTCAGCCTCAGTGAATATATCTGGGAGCCTGAAGTTTTACGTGGGATCAACTCTACAAAAATCTCAGAGCCTATTTTCATCCTAATGACGGAAAATATATTTTTGGGAAAAAATGTAAACTTATATTTTAGAAGTTGGATTAGACTCAATGTGCTTCAAGACAAAAAGCAAAAAATAGGCAAAGAACATACATGTGAGTAAAAAGTGAAAAATTAGAAGGTTATTTGATTCAAGATGTTTATTGGTCACTCGTCGTTTTAACAAACGATTGAAAAGGTTTTCCAGGGAAGTTTCATTAGCAATAAAAAGGTAGTTATGTTAGCAATAAGGACAGATGGTTGTTATAATAAGTAATAATACAATAAGATTTTAAAAAATTATTTAACAAAATAATATGTAACAATAGAATAAAAATACCTTGTACATATAGAATTGAACAGATATATAAAGTACGTCATGTTATTATTATCATTATTGTTTTTGTTGATGATACTAAAAGGAGATATCGATTATAATAAAGTAAAGTCTAAATAAATAAAGAAGTTTTACCTTTTAAATCACAATATTTAAACCTAAACAAAGCTTGTAAATATGTTTTCAGTTTGTTTTTAAAAGAGCAAACTGTTGTAGCTCACATGTTGGAGAAATGACGACAAGATGACGTCTGTGAGGAATAAGCTGTCAGGTGATACTGAGACTAATCTTTCTGATGCATCGTTGGTCTTTTCATGAGATTTGTTGATGATGAGAAACAGAACATCAGTAGATTCTCTGTAGGCTGGAAAAAAACCTTTCATACTATTGGAACATCTGCCATTTTGGGGCTGTTTTACATGTATACATACATTTTTAGAGTCTTTATTTTTTGCGTAAGTCGCCGCAGTGGGGAGAGAAGGGAGCTGTGTTCATACCATGTTTCCAACACTGCTGTGAACCACAGTGTTTCCTCATATCTGTACACACTGTGAATCCTTTACAACACAGACTGAATGGAGGGACTGTGATCGCTGACTGAACATCCTGACTTCAACTAAGAAACTAATAAAATAAAATAATTATAATGCGAAGGATAAAACATGTTTGTTAGTTAGCAGGATTTCAAAAAAAATTCTCAACAGATCAAAACAAAATTTGGTGGAAGGATGTGACGTGGCTCAGGTGGAGGCATGAAGTCTGAGACTATTCTAGTGTTTGAGGACTCCACATGTGGGGAAACCAAAAACTGAGAAGATCAAAGCAAAAAGTCCAAACTCACATCTTGTAAAACTTGTAAGTGACCTTTTGGAAAAGACGGAAAATCCCACTATTAACCATTAAAATGCCTCAGAGATAAATCCAGTCGCTGATCAAACAAGTCACGAGAAACGAGGGAAGATGTTCCTTCTCACTTCTCATGGTGTGTATCTGCACACTGAGCTCTGTCAACCTCCAGTGTGACGACACCAGAATAAAACTAAGTGTATCAATCATAACAATTTGTGACTCAGCTGTCACTGAGGAAGAGGTTGAAGAGGAGGAGGAGGAAGAGGAGGAGGAGGAGGAAGAGGAGGAAGAGGAGGAGGAGATCAAACCCATGACTGTTTGTTTTGGGTCATCATGTGAGGAACACACACAGAACACAGTGTTCCCTCACGGTGGAGTCACTTGATAAACAACAATCAGTGAGAACACTAACACAGAATCGGTTCACTTTACTAAACTGATTAAAGGACATGACAAACATAGAAAGCTGAATGTGTGTGTATGTGTGTGTGTGTGTGTGTGTGTGTGTGTGTGTGTGTGTGTGTGTGTGTGTGTGTGCACATTTTACCCTCTGCAGGTTGAAGTCTCGCTGTGGCTTCACATCTGCGGCCACCATCATCACACACATCACCATGACAACAGCGAGCACCGTGGTCCTCATGGCTGCAGGTTGAGGAGAAGAGAAGGTGCTGAAAGGTTGAGAGAGGCTATCTGAGAGGAGCCTAAAGTGAACTGCAGGCAGTCCACACACAGGTACAGAGTGGCACAGCCTGAGGCAATGTTTGTTTTTGGGTCCTGATCCACCCACCGGCCTGCCAGCCAATCAGGACGATCAGGGAACAGTGGCCAAGTGTTGAAGATGTGTAGTTCCAGAATGAGCCAGACTTCCCGCAGGTTACAGGCACGTGATTCGTTTTAGCTTCAGCTGAGGCTCATTGAGTCTGAACACGAGCTCTGACTGAAGTTTCACAACTTATCCCACACTGAGGGGCAGGGTGTTGATACATTTTGAATTTCTACGAAAGATAATCATGTTACTTGTCTACAGAACGTACTCACACTATTTACTTAGATGAAATAAACATGCTGAGTTACAAGCCTGCATATGAAAATTGGACTTCAGAAAAGCCCAGAAATATAAATAGATCACAAAAGTAAATTATTCATTTTGTAGAATTCTTTAAGATGCATTAATGAATGATTGAGTTGTTTTATGTTGGATGTGTGTAACGTTTGTAGGGGAGTTTAATCTGTATCAGTAGCAAACTCTAGAAGTTTTCTACGTAAAAATTAAATATTTCTCTCTAAATGTTGGGGAGTAGAATTATAAAGTGGTAGAAAATATAGATCCTCAATTGCCCCAGATTTGTAAACACAAAAGTTAACAGGGATAATTATAAAATCAGTCAGTTAAAATTAGATTTAGTTCATTAATCTATGAATACGTGGAGTTTGGGGCTGATTTGCAGAGTACGGGCAGGAGAGTAAATGATTCTATACAGAGCATATGATCGATGTGGGGGTTTAGAGGGAAGCGTGTTTGACATGAGAACAAATGGTTTTTTAGAGGTTTTGTCGAATTCAGTCAATCAATTCAAAACTTTTCACCTGTAAAATAATAATCACCTCAGATTAACATTGTCTCTTTCTGTTTACCTGATGTTTTACAGCAGCACATACAAAACACACAGAGACAAGAGTTTGTTGTTTTTACAGAACTGAGAGGATACAGAACCGTGAAAAATTTACAAAAACTTTAATTATATTTATGGGAAATTCCCTTACAGGAAGTTCACTACAACCTGAAGTGACCTGCTTAACCAAATATTGTTGCAATAATGAAACAGGGCCTTTCTGGGTAAATGACCATGTGGCTTGTGTGGAAATCAGTTGCTGCCAGAATGAAACAGCAAAGAGTCGACGTGGATCAGGAGAAAAGTGTCCGATCACACGGCTGAAAAACAACCAGGGGCCAAGTGAACAATTTAAATAGTTTTATTAATAATGATTTTCCATTTGCAGCACGGCTTTTATCTCATCTTCTTGAAATGCACGATGTATACAGCTCGCCTTCTGTGGACAAGAGGACATCAGTGTGTGTGTCTCAAACTCACAGCACACCTCACAGACCTCCCCTATATACGCACACACACGCTCACACAGACACACACACACTCGGACATATACAAACCAGTTTCCTTCTTTAGCACTTTTTTCTGAGGAACACGACAGCAAGAAAATGACAAAAAAGCGCAACAAGCAGGTTGAGTGATGTCGTTCGGAGACATGAGGAGACCATGAGACACACTTAGACACAGAAGTCCTCAGTTAGGGTTTTGATCTGTGGTCTGTCTGCCGTGAAATGACCCTCACACAATAATCATGAACTTCATAAGTCATTTTGTTCATCGAGACTTCTCTTCACTGATCTCAGTATGAGACGATTGAAAAATATTTTCACTTTCACTAGAGCTCAACTGAAGAAACTTAAACATCAACACACACTTCAACCACCACAGAGTGACACAATGTACGATCTCAGGGTTTCTGGGGCGGGCATGAAATAGTTTTTCATCTGTCGATTCAATAATGTGAATAAAGTAAATGTACAAAGAACCTGGGTGATTAGAACTTGTTTGACAAACTCTTGAGTCCAAAATGTAAAAGAAAAGATTCTGAACATAGTGATATGTACAGGTCAACTGAAACATTAAAAATTTTGAAGAATTTGGAGCTGAAGCTGAAATACACGTTAGATTTCATTTAAATCAAGAGATTTATTTCTATTACAGTTTGATTTGAAACAATTGGGTTGTTTTAATAGTTAATCCAAGGGCTGCACGATAACATGATGGCTTCTCTTCAAATTTTCTTGTCTGAAAAAAAGTATAAGGGAAGTCACAGTGCCCCCATCTGGTAAAAGAGGCGACTGAAAACCTCAACGCACCCCGTCCCACAGACCCTTCACTCACTGCAAGCTGTTTCCTGCATTGACCTACAGTATCTGCGAAATGGGCAACAGGCTCCTGGTCAAGCTCATCTAGAAAGGACGAGTCCTGTCTGCTTCCATGTGCCAAACATTTAGAATAAACAAAAAAGAAATCAACAGTTTGATTGTCTTCCACTCACAAATCCCCTTTTTATACCAAAGCCACAAATGCTGCAATTTCACGCAAAAAAAAAAAAAAGAACACAAACACAAGTGAAACAATCAAAAGTATAATCAACAGTTTCTCAAAAATAATAATTTAAGCTCATAAAAAATAAAATAAAATAAAAGGAAACTTCTTATTCAGAGTGCTCGTCTATGAGGCTGTGTAGTCACGCGCCCTCTGGTGGTCAGGCTCGACAAGCGTAACCCTCAGTCAGAAGCATCATAACAGCCCAACTGTGTTCCCTTCGATACGTTAATGACACGTTACAAAATCATCATCATCATCATTGGTCACTCATTTTGCTTTTTAGACATTCATGAGAACATTTCACACTCATCATTAAAGAATAAATACATGTGAGAGAGGGACTCAGAACTAAGACTACAGAGGAAGCAGGGAGGAATCTCAGTTTCTGCCAAATGGCTTCGTTGGTCTTTTATTCCCCACAGAACTGAGAAATGAGGAGTGAGAGCAACTTTGATGAACAGCGTCAGCAGACAGCAGCCATCAAGGTCAACAGTCAGTGCAAAAAATAAATCAAAGTAAAGCCATGGAAACAGATTGAGAGTCGGTCTGCAGAGAAAAAGCATCGCCGGAGTAAAACGTATGAAGAATTACAGCCAGACGTTAAATGTTGGCAACAACCTGCCTCGCTTTACAGCCGCTGACTGAGGATGTGGTCAGGTGCGAAGATAAGAAAAAAAAAAAAAAAAAAAAAAAAAAAAAAAAGTAATGGCAAACTACACACAACGCACATCGGGAAGAGATACTTGAAAACAGATTCTGAGTTGGAGCTTTGTGTTGATGAACGAATAAGGACAAACTTTTAAAGAACGCCAATATTTTCAATGAATTCAACTACGGTTTTTACCTTCGAATGAATCAGACGTGGCCGAGAATAAGAATCCAGACGAGGCAGAGGATCCAGACAGGAGTCAGGCACCTGATACCGGCTGGATCCTCTACCTGCTCGAAAGAAATGAAGAGCCACAGTCAGAGGGAGAGAAGGAGGGAAGAGAAGACGGAGGGGGTTGGCAGAAAGACGATAAAGGCTTAAAGTAAAGGTGCCGAGCAAACGGTCACGTGGGCGAATGATATTGTCAGGACAACTAAAGTTACAGTCAGGACAGAGACATCAGAGGGAGGAAGACAGACAGCTTGAAAATGCAAGCACCCTCAAAACATTAGGACTCTTGCGCAGTGAAACGTGAACGCACACCCGTCCTGTAGCTGACCAGATGAAGGGGTCAGTTGCTGAGCTCTGTTTCATTTTCAGAGTAAAAACCAGCTTTGAGAGGCCCCTTGGATAGAAAACTACGGATAATGGACGATAGAAGCTGAAGGAGAAGAGTGAAGGTAAACATCCAGCGCAGGGACCATATGAGACACTATGTGTGGGCCAGGGCCTGTGAATCTGTGAACTCACAGTAAGGCACAGTGCTCTGCTTGTGGTTGATGATGCTCATTCATGATGCTGCGACCTCCGATAACGACTACTTCAAACTAAAGACAAATCTATGACTAAGCACATTTTCCTCTTCTTCTATTTTGATACAGTGTCCCTCCTCCCTGCCTTTGAATCTTTGGATCGTTCGGCTCTCCTGAATCCAGCAGAACATCCGGCTTTACCCACAGAAAATGCTTAAAAAAAACAAAACACAAGAGCTTCTCTCTCTTCACTCACCGGTTTCAGAAGAATATTCACACACCATACGATAAGTCTACGTTTAACGACAAAACCTGCACAATGCGGCCGCACCTTCTCGCTGTACGCCAGCTCAGTCAGTGACCTGCGCTGTGAGTGGAAATAGCTGCATGTGTTAAGCCCAGGGTTGAATCAGTCGATCACTTTAGTATGTGTTATTGAGCCACTGATATTAAATGCATACGGCACCTTCATTTAGGACTCGAGAGCTAGCAAGAAACTGATTTGGATACACATACAAAAAAATTAAAACCCTGAACCATTAGCATAACAACAAGAGAGAAAGCTATTACAACATAAATAACTAAAACTATTCTTAAATATGTAAACAAACACTACAACTTAAATATATTTGGTGTGATGCAGACATATTTAAACGCAAAGCTTTGATTTATATCAGCTCTCGTGTGGTGCGGCTGATTATTGCACTGCAGGAGCAAAGAGCCCTATTGCACTTTAGTGAACCGTTCAGCTGAAACCACCGGTCTGATTCAACCTCTGTGCTTCACATGTTTGTGAGTTCCCTTTAAAATAAATCACGGTGTCCTTCCTTCACTTTCAGTGCAAACTGGCATTGAAGAAGAGGAGACCAGAGACTGTTCCAGCTAAAGGTGAAGTTGTCACAGGTGTGTCACTGCTGGCTAATTGTGCAGGTGAAGTCAATGCTCGAGGCTCCAGTCTTTTAAAAAACACAACATTGCTAAAATAGCGACCAGAGAGAGAGAGAGAGA